TATATATATATATATATATATATATGCTGATTAATTTCGCAATTTGTTTTACATAGGAATCCAAAATTTTACGAAGGGAAATTTATATATGTAGCGCATAATTCTAAAGTATTTACATATCTCAAACTTAAAAATTTTATATTTACATATATGATATTTGGTGTTTTAAATTTATGTATGAATATATATTGTTCACATTTAATAACTTATAATGATATTATTTTTGATGTGATATTAAAGATTTAAATGTTATGTGTAAATATGAACATTTATGTGTGAGACATATAGATATATAAGATTTGTTTGACGGCAAAATAAATAAATAAATAAAATGCTTTAATTTTTTTTTATAAAATATAAGCACACAAAATAAAAGATTAATAGATTTTTTTAGATAATCTCACTTTCACGCAATATATATGTATATATAACACCTGAAAAATTGCTATTTCTAAAATTTTGGGTTTCACGGTCAAATCATTGAGAATCAGATAAAAAAGAAAAAAATATGAGTTAGGATTTTATCATAAATTTTGATATTTGAGTGATAATTTAAGAAATGAATGAAAGAGGGTGACAACTTTATAAATAGCAATGCTTCTAGTGTTATTTTACATAGGATTTTGAGTCAAGCCAACTCGTGTGGCAGCTCGTGCTCGGCTCGATAAGTGACTCATGAACTGAGCTCAATGAGCTAACAAGCCAAGCTCAAATTAACCTCAACTTAAACTTTTTAGCTCATGAATAAGCTAGTTCTTTTTTTTAACAAGGACAATTACATACAGTTCACCCGAAACTTCTTATTTACAAATCAACCATTTTTCATTCATTTTTCAATCTCTAACTCAAATATCAAAATTCATGATAAAACCCCAATCCATATTTTCCATTTTAATCAAATTTTCCAAAAGTTTGAGCTTGACAAACATAAATATATTAGTTTGATAGTTCAAAATTATAGATTTAAACCTGAGCATAATAAAATTAATCAAACAAATTCAAATCAATGATGGCTCAAACTGGAACACTTTTACACCACTAACTAACTATATATATATATATATATATATATATATATATATATATATAATTGTCCCATATTAAAATTCATGATAAAATTTCAACTTATATTTTTCATTTTTATCAAATTCTTAATGAAAAATCTCTCCGTAGTAAATCCATCTGCATCTTTCTCCCACATGTCTCCCCTCTCTCCCGTCGTCTCCATGAGATGTACACTATTTTCAATCCTTTGACTCATTCTCTAACAGGCGGCAAATACTATGGCAGGCCGTCCAACAAAGAAGAAGAAGAAGCCGCAGCGGCAGTTGAATAGAAACAATAGCTATAAAATCATTCAACCATTAAAAAAAAGATTCAGGAGCTCTCCGGATGTCGTCCCTCCCGCCGGCGCCGCCTCCCTCTCCGGCGATCCCAAAGCATAAAATAAATTCGACGGCGGCCTCTCCACCGCCTCCACCTGCTCTAAACTTTTCGTCCATTTCGGAGTCGATACCGAAGCAGGCTATTATTGGGATTGCGGTCGGGGCGGTGGCGGTTGTGGTGATTGTCACCATTGTGTGTCTCTGTTGCGGAAAGAAGCGAAAGAGAAAAGGTTATGAATCGTGGAATGACAGTGAATGGTCTCTCCGGCCGCCATTGCCGCTGCAGAAAGGTAGCTCTTTTCTTCCTTGCTAGATTGTTATTCCCTTCCACAGTGTGAGCGAAGCCAGGGGTGGCTGTGGTTAGTTTAATTTATAAATGGTCTTGTAGCCATGTATGATATGCAGCTTGAACACCTAGTATTTTCACCTTCTCTACTCTTAAATCTTGTTTCAGCCATTATCTTTGTAGGTTTGAGTGTGTTTTGTGCAACAGCCTCAACTCTCAACCAGTGAGAAATTGTAAGCTTTGGCCTAATGGCTTCCTAGATTTGTCCATTGGTGTAACTTTCATCAGGAGATCATCCATCCCAAAGTGCTCCGATACAAGCGCGCTTAACTTTGAACTCCAACTGTTACACCAAAAGGAGGGCTGATATTAGCTCGGCGATCATTAATCGCTTCAAAATTGATTCAAATTTTGATTCAGATCAGAATAAACGAGCCAAAGTCATGGATCAAATTTTTTTTGAGTTGATTTATAGCCAAATAGATAGACTTAACCTGGCTGGCTCGAGATTCGCTAAAAGTATTTTATTTATAAATATAACACAATGCTAAACAAAATTTTAGAATGCACAAGTGGTAGAATTTTTTTATAATTTATTTGTAATCATTCATTTTAAGCTCGATCAATCAAAATGAGTAAGCTCGTTTTGATTTTCAAGTTGGAACAAATCCAAACAACTCAGTTTGAGCTAGCTTGTTTAATTTTGATTTCGAGTTAGATCGAGGTCGATTCAATTTCTAGCTCATAATCATGTATAACAAGTCAAGATCTAATTTTGAGCTGCATTGAATCCCACTTGAGTCCATTTCAAGTCAATCCTAGCTCAGCTTGAAATCGGATTGTTCACAACTCTAACCAAAAGGTGCCTCGATGTTTAAGAGTTCTTCATTTGACTATAGAGGATCCACAATTTGCCTCATAATTGATTTGTTATGAATCTTTTTTAATGAGTTAGGCAAAGTAAAATCATTGAGAGTGATAAAATAGAAAGAAAAGTATCATAAAAAAAACTTCCAAATTTTATATAAGTTAACCCAATTGACAGCCACTTGTTACTGCTGTTCTGCTAAAAGAAGGATTTTGAGGGATTAAAACTTGAAAATTGTTTTGCTTGACAATTGTTAACCCCTGATAAATCGTTTCTAAACCGAGAAAAGGTCAAAGTCAACCCCAATCCCTCAATTCTACCACTGTACAATTTCTGGAACACTAGGTTATAAAGAAAACAAACACTGTGCCAAACCCAAAGAACAATACTGAAATCTTCATTCGTTCAGCTTTAGCTCTCATTCCTTCCTATCATTTTTTTTTTTCAAATTATTTGCTGAGTGAACTTTCCAATCAAAACTTACTCTTTTCTATTGTCTACTTTTCAGATTTCAGCTACACTGCACCTCCTCCAATACTAAAGAATTATTATCCACCATCAGAAAAACAAGTAGTCAAACATCCTGAAGTTCCGAGTCCCCCACCACGGCTTACTTCTCATCCACCTCCTCAAACAATTTATAACAACAGCTCAAATTCTGGGTCCGATTACTCACAGATTTCACTGCCCCCGCCGGCACCTACCCCGGCCTTCGGATTCAGTAAAAACAGTTTTACATATGAGGAGCTAGCTCTGGCCACAGATGGATTCTCTGATGCCAATCTTCTTGGACAGGGAGGCTTCGGATTTGTGCATAAAGGTACACTTTTGAACGGGAAAGAAGTAGCCATTAAGCAATTGAAAGCTGGAAGTGGGCAAGGGGAGCGCGAGTTCAGGGCTGAGGTTGAGATAATCAGTCGTGTACATCACAAGCACCTGGTTTCTTTGGTTGGTTTCTGTATTTCTGAAGTTAAAAGACTGCTGGTTTATGAATATGTTCAGAACAATACGTTGGAATTTCACTTGCATGGTAACTCCCTCAACTATCGAGCTTCATGTAGTATAATGTGCTTTTTGATATAATAAGTAAATTTTGTATGAAAACTCCACATTTAAGTGTGTACTCCTAGGATGGGTGACCTTATAGAACATATTGGATCAAAGTGATAACACCTTATAGAACATGGCCTGGGGTACTATAGTATGTCAAAATGATATTATGAAACATGATTTATAAAACTAATATGATAGTTTTTTTTAGTATTTTTTATGAAATAAACCTTTAATGGGTAGAAAGTTATTTTTCCTCGCATCTAGTTTCAGAATTCACCTTTTTTTTTCATTTATGAGTTGGTGAAGTCAGAATATCTAACACAATTCTAAGCTAAAACTCTAAATGATTGCATCAACTTAGCTGACTGAGGCATCACTGCTTGTTAACTCAAGGTTGTAATATGTGATCCTTAAATCTGAACTATTTGTTGTTGCAGAAACTGATCGACCAACTATGAGCTGGCCAACCAGATTAAAAATTGCTTTGGGGTCTGCTAAAGGGCTGGCGTACTTGCATGAAGACTGTATCCCATCTTTCACTTCTTTTATTATATATTATACCATTTTTCTTCCATTTTTTATTAGTTGCTTGCTGACAGGAGCAGTATTATGTTTCCAGGTAATCCTAAGATCATACACCGGGATATTAAGGCAGCCAATATCCTTCTCGACTACAATTTTGAAGCCAAGGTAGCAAAGCTTTGGCCAGTTCCCCCTTTGTTTTTAAGGGCAGTTTACACACATGCCACACAATTCTTATGTATTCACATATCCAATACCAGAACATTCACATTTATATGCATATCACTCAAATCTTTAACATCACATCAAATAAATCAACATCACTATTTTTTAAAAGTGAAATACGCCATTTCATGCATAGGTTTATGACACCAAGGTATTATAACTGTAAATATCAATCTTTGGATGTTAGATATGTATATGCATAGGAATTGTGTGGTTTGTATGTAAATTTCCCTTTTTTAATCAACTTCTAGGAAGTATTTACTTACCACTTACAAACTGGAGGAATATGTGCAGGTTGCTGATTTTGGTTTAGCAAAGCTTGCGCCTGATAAAAGTACACACATTTCCACCCGGGTCATGGGAACTTTTGGGTAAAAATCATCTTCCTACTCGATTTTAAATTATCCCTGTGTTTGTTTTTGTTGTTGTTGCGAGATCTAGATATACCAGTTGATGTGGTATATATATAAACAAACAAGAGAACTATCGACGAAGTGAAAAATAGAACGAGAAAAAATCACACCATAAAAGAACAGACAGATTTACGTTGTTTGACAAATTGCATACGTCCACGGAGTTGCAGAGTATTTTACTACTTGAGGAATTTACACCAGTCAATCACCTCGACTTACAAGAGGAATCTCTCACTCTCATTTTATTACTCTCTCTTCTTCTCTCTCTGTTTTTCTCTCTCTACACCGAGATATACTGAAAAAACTCTACACTGAGATACACCGAAGAAACTATACACTGAGATACACCGAAGAAACTATACACTGAGATACACCGAAGAAACGAAGAAACTATACACTGAGAAAAAATAATAAAATAAAAATAAAAATAAAAATAATAAAAAAAGAGATGAAGAAGACAAACTTACAAGAGAAAATTTTTCTTTACCATTAAAATTTTTAATGAAAAAAACCACCACGAAGAAGCCTACGGAGAATAATCTTCTTCTTCTTTCTTCTTCCTTCTGCTGCAAGGAACTACTTATTGCACTTTCCTTCCTCTATCCCGAAGAAACCGAAGAAGAACTCAAAATGTGACTTCTTTTAAACTGAAAGGAAAGTCGTACGATACCTTTTATCACGAGAGTGGAGGCGGGCTTCACTTCGTGGGAACAGGGAGCAGGCGTCGGTTTGTGAAACTAAGGGAGGCGGGAACAGGTATGGGCTTTCCTTTTTTTTTATTCCTTCATAAGCTGCAAGTCTTCATCATGCTTTTTGAAAAAGATGGCGGGACCCGTTATTATCAAAACAGTAGGCGGGAGAAAGCAAAGAGGCGGCAAAGCAAAATTTCCAAGATTTTAACCACCCAGGCAACAGTGGGTCGGGCTCCACCGTTCCAACAATTCTCCCATTTGGAGACCGGTACGCAAACTACAACATCTCCTTCCACAAACGGATATCCTCCACTGGTTGTGTCGCCTTTTTCTTTAAACATGAATCCTCCACCATAAATCCTCCAACTTGAATCCTCAAAGCCTTTGTCTTCACTCCATAAAACCAACTGAAGCTGTGTACAACTTTAACTTCTTAAGAGTAACACCCCCAGTCAACATATCAGCATGCTCCACATAGTTTTGCACCTCCAAGCTATTTCCTGGGTCACTCTTGTCTCTTCTTACAATTCCCACTACATGGGGAACATCCTGTATTTACTGAAAGTCTTTTTCAACAAGTCTTGTCTTGTACTTTTGTACTGTCATCAAGCTCAGTCTTCACCCGGTACACCCACATGTTGTGTAATGTCTTCTTCCCAATGTCTTCTTCCCTGGTGGAAGAGTTCTGTCAGCTTTCACTTGCTCGAACTTTCATCTTGCAAGATTTCTTCATAACTCTGTGGTTTTCCACCATCTGTCTGTTGAACAATAGGAATGAGTGTCCCGGACCCACTATCTTCTTCACTTCCATCATCAACAAAACTATGAATTGTCAGCAACAATGCATCATGTGCTTCTTCAGATACCACTTTTGCATTATCATTCTCTATCTTCTTGGGATTCCTACAGTTTTTTTTTATGTAGTCAGCTTTGCCACAATTCCAACAGGTTGTCTGCTGACCAAGTTTTGATTTTGATCTCCCTTTATTTGAGTTCATGTCATGTAATCTCCCTCTGAAATCAATATTTAGTGTCGAACTCGAACCTGAAATCTCGCCAGAATCTTTCTTGTGAACTTCTTCAGCCAAAATCAAATCACGAATATCATCGTATTTCAGTTTAGATTTACCTACAGAACTGCTAACTGCTATTCTCATGGCTTCCCAACTTTTTGGCAACGATGACAACAATATCAGCACACACATCTCATCATCAAAATCAATTTCAACAGACGAAAATTGATTTGTGATAGTATTAAAATCATTTATGTGTTGAACAACAGAAACACCTTTTACCATCTTCAAGTTGAATAACTTTTTCATCAAGTACACATTATTATTCGTCGATGGCTTTTCATACATACCTGATAAGGTTGTCATGAGATCTACAATTATCTTTTACTTGATGACGATGCGTGTAACGAACCTCGATAGAGTCAATCAAATAACCCCCAGAACTTGTCGATCCAACAAATTTCATTCAGCCTCATCCATCCTTTTAGGTCTTTTCTCCAATAACGAAAGATGAAGTTTCTTCCTATAGAGGTAGTCCTCTATCTGCATCCTCCAATAACCAAAATTTGTATCATCAAACTTCTCGATCCCTGAAACCTTCACTTCTTCTGCAGTCATCATCTTCCTCAGATCCGAACATGTCTCTGATATCAGTTGTTGTTGTTGTGAGATCTAGATATACCAGTTGATGTGGTATATATATAAATCAAACAGGAGAACGATCAACAAAGTGAAAAATAGAACAAGAAAAAATCACACCAGAAAAGAACACACAAATTTACGTGGTTCAACAAATTGCCGACGTTTATGAAGTTGCAGAGGATTTTACTACTTGAGGAATTTACACCAGCCGATCACCTCGACGTACAAGAAGAATCTCTCACTCTCACTTTGTTGCTCTCTCTTCTTCTCTCTCTGCTCTTCTCTCTCTACACCGAGATACACCGAAGAAACTCTACACTGAGATACACCGAAGAAGACAAACTTACAAGGGAAATAAACTCAATTTCTCTTCTGCCACAAGCCACCACGAAGAAGCCTAGGGAGAACAATCTTTTTCTTCTTCTTTCTTCTTCCTTCTGCTGCAAGGAACTACTTCTTGTACTTTCCTTCCTCTATCTCGAGGAAATCGAAGAAGAACTGAAAACATGACTTCTCTTAAACTGAAAGGAGAGCCGTGCGATACCTTTTATCGCGAGAGAGGAGGCGGGCTTCGCTTTGCGGGAACAGGGAGCATGCATCGGTTCGTGAAACTAAGGGAGGCGGGAACATGTATGGGTTTTCCTTTTTTTTTTTGTTCCTTCATAAACCGCAACTCTTCAACATGCTTTTTAAAAAAGATGGTGGGACCCGTTATTATCAAAATCGCTGGCGAGAGAAAGCAAAGAGGCGGCAAAGCAAAATTTCCAAGCTTTTAACCGCCCAGGCAACAGTGGACCGGGCTCCACCGTTTCCAACAGTTTTGAAGCTAAGGAAATTAATAGGATGAACAATATATGAAGAAAAAAAATAACACAGATCCTCATGGAAAATCCAAGACGGGAAAAATCACGAACAGAGGAAAATAAAGTCCATTATCCTTGAAGTAGAGCACTTATTTAGCGGCCAAATCTTTTAATATGGGAAATCCTAATGAAAATATCATAAGTATAGGCATGTACAAAACCTAATAAAAATAACTTTAAAATTGGTTGAATCAGCCTGAAGACAAACTAAATAGGCCAAAATATTCCACAACCTTGGTAAGGTTAGTGGAGTGTTCAGGATCAGCATGATCCCTCTACTACCACCACAGATCTAAAAAAAAAATCCCATATTGTTCTTTCACTAATATGTCACACTGCGAGCTTTAAGGTTTGAATCAAACTAACTTGGGGGTACCATATTTAACAGAAGGTGCGAATAAAAAATTCTCTAGATTTCAAGTACCAAGAAATAAAAAAATAACAAAAATAGAAGGAAAAAGATTCAACAACTTGAAACAAATAAGAATTTTATACTTGTTCGCCCAATTGGTGATTATGTTGTTCTACTGTGATTATGAGATTTAAATTATGTTTTTATTTAGATCTGCCTGGTCATCTGTTAGCTAATGAACCTATTTATGTGACTCAAATGCTGACTGCAGGTATTTGGCGCCAGAATATGCTTCTTCAGGAAAACTTACAGATAAATCTGATGTGTTTTCTTATGGAGTCATGCTATTAGAGCTAATAACCGGAAAGAAACCCATCGACGCAGCTGTATCCTTGGATGGAAGCTTAGTTGATTGGGTTAGTTTCCTCTTCCTACCCCATTTTACCTGTACTGGCTGATGAATTCCGTACTTCAGCTGCAGTTTATCGGACCTTTTTTGGAATTTTTCAACATATTAAATTTCCTTAATTTATTTAGGCTCACAAAATGTTCATTAATGTTTTGAGGGAAACATCTTTGAATGCTGTTAGGTGCTTTAATATGGATCTGTTAGAGTTCTGCTCTTTAAAAATGTCTCTATATTATTATCATCAATCCTCAGTTCTTAGTCCAACCTTATTTATTCAACTCCTTTTCTGTTAGGATGCTAATAAAACTACAAACTTATCTCTTATTATTAGCAATAAGGTCTCAAAGTTATGTGAGATTAATAAACTGTATAGATTCAATGCATTCAAATATTCAAAGAGCATATACACTGGAATAATCATGTGAGAACCAGTTGAAAAGCTTAAATAAAACTTTCATCTAAACTCCTACATAAAGCAAGCAATCTTTCCATTTGCCCGTTATAAATCTTTCAAGCCAATGTTGAGTGTCTGTCTTCCATTATGTGATTGTCTTTATTTGAGAAAAGTTTCAAGATAGTCCTCGACTCTTTGCGTGAGGTCAATTTAGCCCCAGAGTCTATATAAGTATCAATTTAGGCTTCGGACTCTTTTAATACGGGCTGAAATAATCTCCGTGGAAGATTATTTCAGCCATAATTTAAAGATTTTGGGGATTCATTTGACACTTTTATAAATTTTGGTATGAAAATGACCCCATTTAAGTCGGGGGATTATTTTGGCACTTTACGCAATTTTATTTTTATTGTTGAACCTTGAAATTGACATATGGAGATGAATTATGGACATTTCATAGTTATACTTTGTTATACTTTCCAAGATTTACTTTGTCTTTCTACTAGTGATCATTTCAGCTATAATTTGTTTGTCTCCTGTTTGATATAGGCAAGGCCCCTATTAACAAGAGCTATGGAAGATGATTACTATGGTGATTTGGTTGACCCACGCCTTGAGAGAAATTATAGTATGAAGGAAATGAAACGGATGATCGCTTGTGCTGCTACTTGTGTCCGCCACTCCGCAAGACGTAGACCTCGAATGAGCCTGGTATTCCATTGATCAATATGAACATTTTTACAGCTAATACTTTTTCACATAATTTTTTTTTCTTATTTGTCATTCATCTAAAATCCATTTGATAAATTTAAATAGTTTATCTTAATATACAACACAAATAGTGATGAGATATTCATGGGCCATTTGAAATTACTTCAAATTTTTAATTTTTTGTTGTAATTTTGTTTAGTTTGTATTTTAATTTGAAATAAAATATGTTTTGCTATTTGATTAAAGTATGTTGTTTTTAAAAACACTCAAAACACCTAAAAGTTATTGCAAGTTTTTTCAAAAACAGGTTAATTTGTTTTTAGAATCAAAAAATAAAAAATATGCAAAAACACACAAAACCAACATTTTCAAAAACAAAAGCAAAAGAAAAAACAAAAACAAAAATCCAAATTGAACCAAAACAAACTCTAAGTTTCAGAAATTTTTATGCCATCAAGTCAAACATAAGTGGGTGAGTTATTTTGATAAACTTTTCAATGAGTTTCTGAAAATACAATCAACTTTAGTGATCTTAATATCTTTAATAATAAAAAAAATATTTCATTTTTCTTGTCGCATTATTAAAAGTGAACTTGAGAAAACTTTGAACAAAACTAAGGGTGGAAAATCTGTAGGACCTAATGATATTCAAATTGAAGTGGGGAAATATTTAGGAGATTTAGGAGTTTCTTGGCTTACTAAATAATATTTTTAAAAAAATTAAAAAGAAGTCTGAGAAGTGGAGGAAGTGTATTTTGATACCATTTTTAAGAATAAGAGGATGCACAAGAGTGTGCAAATTATAGATGAATTAAGTTGATGTGTCATACTTTAAAATTATGCGAGAGAGTAATTGAACATAAGTTAAGACGTATTACAAAGATTTCTCATAATCATTTTGGATTTATATCAGACAGTTATATTATGAAAGCCATACATTTACTGAGAGGTTTGATAGAGAAATATAGAGAGAATAAGGAAGATTTACATATGATTTTTATTGATTTAGAAAAAGCTTACGATAAGATTCCAAGACATATCGTTTGGAGAGTTCTAAAGAAGAAAGGTGCTGACATGACTTATATTCAAGTCATTAAATGTATGTATGCTAGAGTTGTTAATTGTGTTCAAACAGAAGGAGGATTGATCAAATATTTTCCTATTTCAGTTGGATTACATCAGGGATCTGCTTTAAGCCCATATCTATTTTGCTTTAGTTATGAAAGCTCTTACTGGACATTTACAGGAGGATTTACTGTGGTGTATGCTTTTCGTTGATGATATCCTTCTCATGGATAAGACTAGAGAAAGTGCTCAGGAAAAGTGCTCAGGAAAAACTTTCAGGAAAAACTTGAATTATGGAGGTCTACATTGGAATCTAAATGCCTCGTTTGAGTAGAACTAAAACTGTATGCATGGAATGTAAATTTAGTAGTAGTAGCTCTAGTGACATCGTTGTAACTATTGGTGGTCAAATTATTAAAATGTGTGAATGTCTTAGATATCTAGGGTCTATTGTTCAAAGTGATGGTAATATAGATGAGGATGTTATTAGTAGAATTCAAGTTGGTTGGTTGAAATGGAGGAATGTTTCGGGCCTATTGTGTGATAGAAAAGTATCGCTTTGACTGAAAGGAAAATTTTATAAAATGGTGGTGAGACCTGCAATGTTGTATGGCATGGATTGTTGGTCTTTAAAAGATAAGCATAAAATTAAGTATTGTCGAGATGAGAATGCTTAGGTGGATGAGTGACTCTACACTTAAAGACAAAATACAAAATGAACATATCCGTGATAGGGTTGGTGTAGCTCCTGTGGTGGAAAAGATTAGAGAGAGTTGTCTTAGATGGTCTAGTCACATTAAACATCGACTATCTAATGATCTGGTTAGGAGAATAGAGGTTTTAGATTTGACTTACGTTAAAAAAGACAGAGGTAGATCTAAAAAGACTTGGGTATATTCTATTAAAAAATGATCTTAATTTATTAGAATTAAATGAAAATATGACATTCAATAGGATGCAATGGAGAAAAAAGATTCATATAGCTGACCCACTTAGTGGGATAAAGACTTGTTGTTGTTGCAAGTCAAGCATCAAGCCTTAAAAAATAGCACTATAATGGATTACCTAAATAGTGAAATAAATATTTCATAAATTGTACAATATCGGGTATTCAAATCAATTAATATATATATATATTATAAGACGTCCATTATTTTGTAACATTAGAAAAATAACTACCAAGATTTTGGAGTGGATTCATAAAAAAAATAATAGCAGTGAATTTGGATAATCTCCAACAAATATAGATTTGGAAAATGAGATGCCTTTCTTCCATTACAAGTAGAGAAGATAGGAAGTGAAGAATGGTAATAAAGAATAAGGAAATAGTATCTGCTTTACTTGGAAAAATAATGGTTGTCGATGATTAGTCAGTTAATTATTATTGGCATGAAAAATTGTTGGGGAGAGATATGGGCAAGGGGGAGAGATATGGGCAAGGGGGAGCGATTGATGCTTTCTGCTGATCTAGGCTGTATTCTTGCTCTTTTATGCTCTTTGATGAATGGTTCCTTGATTTGCAAAATAAGTTAAATTTTATCAGAATATCCTGATACATTTTTATACAAGAATGAGAAAACAGATAAATCAAAATTATATGACAACCATTAAAGAGCAATGAACATTTAAAGAAAAACATAAAAAAAACAAAAGATAAAAAATAAAAAAACTAATTTTTGTTTACTTGTCCTCTGTTATGAATGTTTATGATTTAATTTTGAATATGTCTTCCTATCATAACAAAAAAGGAATCAATTTTTTACGCTTAATAATGTTTATCTTCACTGTTAATGTATAAAAGTTCACTTTTTGTCACTGGCTTAGCAATTAAAATAACATATTTTGTACATTAAATCAATCTTACATTAGATAAAGGTATTTACATACATACCACCCAATTCCAATATATTTTCATAACTAGCACCTTTATTTTTTACATTTCTCCCATCCAAATCTTTCATATCACAAAAAAAAAAAAAACCACTATTTCAACTTTTAAAAAGTAAAATACATCTTTTCATGCATAGGTAAGGTGACATATATGTCAAATTAAAGTTTAAATATTAGATATGTAAATACATATGAATTCAATGGTATGGAAGTAAATCTTCTTCCTATTAGATATTTCTTCTAATGACATAATGAAACCCACAGGTTCTTCGGGCTTTAGAAGGAAGTGTTTCCCTGGAAGACCTGAATGAAGGAATGCAACCAGGCCAGAGCAGTATGCATGACTCCTATACTACTAATACCAGTTCTGACTGCGACTCCCAAAGGTACAATGAAGCAATGCAGAAGTTCAGAAAAATGGCACTGCAGAGTCAAGTTTATACAAGTAGTGAGTACAGTGGAGGAACCAGCGAATATGGCCTTGCTCCCTCTCTAACAAGCAGCGAAGGCCAGAACACACGAGAAATGGAGATGGGAATGATGAAGAATATTCATAGCTTTAACAGTAACTAGCCGTTAAGACTGAACACTAACTTATTTGAAGAGCATTCATTTCTTCGGAATTTCCGAGGATAAGAAAACCGGAAAGGGTAGAGCAAGGGATGTTATTATTTCGGTGTTCTGTACAATCTCTGTGGAGTTATTTCAGAAGAAATTATTGAACAGCCAACAATTTGATTCATTTATATTACATGTAAATTGATGAGAAAAAACTTAAAACTTATTTTCTTCGTATGGATATTTCTCGGCTTCAGCTAATGCTGCCATAGTTTTACAGCATAAATTATTGGCTTGAGTTACTCAGAATATATTATGGGCGAGGATAATTTTTTTCTTGTTCAATTGTAAGAAACTTATTTCTATTTTTCAAGATCATCGTTATCCGTAAGAGAGGGATAACAGATATTTATAATACAAAACTAAAGAACATTCACCAGATGATTTGGGAGAGTTATTCCTCAATGGTCCTTTCTTTACCCCTGGTGCAATCTACTTTTCCTACTTTGTAACTTTACTATTGAAAATCAATGCATTGTTGGAATGTCATTCGGCTAATAAGATCAAATTTGTGGAATTATACCATAATAAACAAAAAATTAAGCAAGGAAAGATGCAGAGAATATAAAAGTGAAAAGAAGGAATAGGGTCTATGCTGACCACTTAAAAGAAGATCAAGCAGTAGAGGAATCAAGCTGTTCCAGCAAACTTCAAGCTTCTTTGCTTGCCCTAGGATTCTGAAGTTCATTGAGCAGTTAGGGATGTCAATTTATAGGCTCTAAATGTGTAATAAATTAAACCTTGCATAATCAAGCCCGGATAGAACAGGTCCGTCCCGACGCCGCGAAAATCGCGTTCTCCACCTACTCACGATTGAAAGGAGATGAAATTAGGGCATAGGATGTCCCTCTGGTTCCTTCGCACAGCCATCAACCTTCTTCCTCCTCCACCAATTGAGCAGTCACTCCTGAGCCTTCATCTCTTTCAGTGATAGGCTCGACTGCGCGCGCGATCTTTTCCTGCACCACTTCTTCCCTTTCAGGAGCGGTTCTTAGTTTATTCCAAACCCTGAGTCCGTAGCTACGATTTGTGTATTGGAATGTATTTGGAAGGGCCGAATTTATGACTAGTTATTTTTTTTTTTAGTTATTTTTAGGTTATTTATGGTTATTTTTCATAAATTTAAAAAATTTAGGTTATTTTCAATAATTCTGAAATAACACAAAAATAAACTGAAAATAACTCAGGAATAACCTCCGCGGCACATAGAGCTACATCAGAAGTTCGGACAAAAAATGCGCTCTTTTGACAGAGGTCGGTGTTTAATAAAATTATATTTTATTTATGTTCTCAAAAAATTGTGGTTGAAATTTACTTTTTTGTCATGCTAATTGCGATGGCCGCTAGAAGGCTAAAGTCTTCACTCTTTCAAAATTATTAATTTTATTGATAGTCATCTCAATTTTTTAAATAATTATTTATTTTTCAACAATTTCACAGCTACATCTTTAAACAGCTGCAGCTTTCTTAAAGAAACCCTCAAATTAGTATTTATCTGCACATATCTCATCTATGTGTAGGCTTTAACAAATAATAATTTACGTGACTAAGTCAAGCACAAAGATTATAAATATTGGTTTAATAAATTTTGAGATATTTAAAATTTCAAAATTATTTAAGAATTTATTTTAAATTTAAATATATTAGTTGGAACATGAATTTAATATTAGATGTTAGTGATATAGTTATTAAACTAATTAAATTTTAATTTTTACTTATAATTATGCTAATATATGATTATTTATTTATTTAAATATTAATTATTAATAAAAAAATTTATTATATTTATTATTAATTAACATTTCTTTAATTATCAATTTATTAATATTTATTAAAGTAATTAATAATTATTTAACTTTTATTAAATTAATTAAAAATAAATATTTAATTTATTTTAACTAAATACTTTTTAAATACTTGCATGTAACTTTATCTAATTATAATTAATTAGATAATATATAAATTAGTTACTAGTAAATAATCAATTAAATTAATAAAATTAACTTAAATAAAATTAAATTAAAGCCACAAACTTACCATCTCCTTCCCCTCCTGTGCCCTAAACTCTCACCTACATCTCTCCCTGCTCTTGATTTTGCCCAGAACCATCATATTTGTGATTGAACCCTCACATTATAGCCACAATTAGAGCAAAATTTTGATTTAAGAATATGTGAGATTTAAAGATATCAATTTTATAGAAAAGTATTACCTTCAAAATTGAATTGATATGTAAATAATAGGGTTTTTTCTACCTTTTATAATAAAATGGGGGCAATTGTTCATTTTTTTATTGTTGTGATTAGAATGATTTGAGTAAGAGCATGCATAATGGACTTATATGAGCTCCCTCTGTAAACTTTATGCACTAATATGACATGGATGATTCCCCGACAAAGAATAAGAAATGAATGTTGCGAATATGAAAATTGATATACTGTTCAAATTGACAGTTTTTCATGTTTGACAACAAATTGGATTTGATACTCAAAATTAATTGCTAAACTAATTGCTCTTAATTCCTTCCTTAAAATCTTCTACAGCTTTCCTTGCATGAATCCTACCATCTATAATTTGTTGCAGAAGAGAAATAAAATAATTAATGTGCTTCATTAATTATTTGATTTATTCCTCAATGGGCCTAATGACATGATTGAATTAATAAATAGACATGCTACAACTCCCATTGTAATCTCCCTCAGGCGTTGGTTTTACAGGGAAAGGAATTTCATGTTACGGCTTCCTCCTTCGGCATTGGTTCGGTGCTCTGCATAAGGGAAGAAAGAAATCGCAAGCTGATGTCTTTTTATTTCTTCCTCTGTGCGGCTTGCAGGTAGAGAGAGAAGGGGGAGAGATAGAGGAAGGTTGAGAGAGAGAGAGAGAGCTCTTCATTTTATTTGTCGAGGCGATCGACGGGTGTAATCCTCAAGTTAATAAAATCATCTGCAACACTGTGAACGTAGGCAATTTGCCAAACCACGCAAAATTATGTCGCCTTTTTCTGGTGTATTTTTCTCATTCTAATTTTCACTTTATTGTCGTTGTTTTCAGAACAACTGGTATCAGATCTGTGGTTTTGGATCTAAGGAAGAATGATGGTCGGAGACTTCAAGAAGTTTAATGACAAAGATTTTGGTTACTAGAGGGTGCAGATAGCGGACTACCTCTATGGAAAGAAAAATTCATCTTTTGTTACTGGGAAAGCAACCGGAGAATATGGACGAGGCGGTATGGAATATGTTAGGTCGACATGTTCTGGCGGTTATTGGATTGACCCTGTCAAAATCTGTTGCCAACAATGTCATTAAGGAGAGGACTACTGCAGATTTCATAACAGTTTTATCAGATATGTATGAAAAGCCATCGGCGAATAACAAGGTGCACTTGATGAAAAACTTATTCAACTTGAAGATGACAAAATGTGTGTTTGTAGCTCATCATCTGAATGATTTCAATACTATCACAAATCAATTGTCGACTATGGAAATTGATTTTCACGATGAGATACGTGCGTTGATATTGTTGGCTTCATTGTCAAATAGTTGAGAAACCATGAGGATGACAGTTAGTAGTTCTGCAGGTAAATTAGTTCTGCAGGTAAACTGCAGGTAAATTTAAACTGAAATATGATAATATTCGTGATTTGATTTTGGCTGTGGAGGCGCGCATGAAAGATTCTGGCGAGACCTAGGGTTCGAGTTTGACACTAAATGTTGATTCCATAGGAAGATCACATGATAATAATTCAAACAGGGGAAGATCAAAATCAAAGCCTGGTCATCAAGCGGTCTACTGGAATTGTGCAATCTTATCTTTATTCTCACTCTCTTTCCCCTCGCTCTCTTATATCTATATTGGTTTTGAACTTTCACTTGTATCCTCTTCCTTCTTCCCCACTATCCCTTGCTCCCCACCCTCACTCCTAATTGGATTCAGGGGATTCCTTTCATACATCTTCCCACCGGGAGTTGATGTGAAACATGTTGCAGGTGACTTTGGGAAGGTATATATGACTGATAGAAAAACTCTAAACGTGGTGGAGATGCGAGACATTGATATTGCACTCCCTAACAAGAGAAAATGGTCATTGCAAAAGGTCAGACACATTCCTGAGTTGAAGAAAAACCTCATTTCTGTTGGGCAGCTCAATGAGGGTGGTCATTCGGTAATGTTCTCGGATAGCACCTGAAATGTTACCGAAGGAGCATTAGTACTGACACAGGGTAAAAAAACTAACACACTATATATGACTAAAATTTTACTCAACACTGTTGATACTACAGTTGCAGAGAGCACTGCAGACATGTAACATTGAAGGCTTCTACACATAGTCAGAGGGGCATGAAAGAACTTCAGTCCAGAGACAAGCTACCAGAGCTGAAGTTAGTTGATCTTAGCATGTGTGAGAGTTGCATTATGGGGAAACAGAGAATGTTAGTTTCTCGCTAAAGACAGGAAAATTGGATCTTGTACACACATATGTGTGGAGACCTTCTCCAGTGACATCTCTTGGAGGCTCTCGTTACTATGCCATATTCATTGATGACCACAGTAAAAATGTAAGGTTTGTTGATTTATCAGATGTCACAGTGCAGGAAAATCAGACATGACAGCTGATAGAACTTATACCAGGGAAGAAGACATTGCACAACAAGTGTGTGTATCAGGAGAAAATTAAGTTTGATGGCAATAAGAGGTACAATACTGGACTTGTTAAAAATGCCTTTCAGCGGAGGCAGGATATTTCCTATGCAGTGAGAGTTGTAAGCCGATACAAGAGTAACCTAGGAAAGAGCTTGGAGGTACAATACTATATTGACGCTGATATGTCGACTAAGAGTGTTACTCTTGAGAAACTGAAATTGTGCTCAACTTCATTTGGTCTTATAGCTTGAATATAATGAGTTTTGAGTTGCAGAGGTGGCAGATATCACATTTATAGAAAAGGACGATGCAGACAGTGGATGATGCATCCAGTGTACCTGCCTCAAAGTGAGAGATTTGTTGCGAATATGGAAACCGACCCACTGTTCAAATTGACAGTTTCTCATGTTTGGTAGCAAATTGAATTTGATACTCAAAATTAATTATTAAATTAATTACTCTTAATTTCTTCACTAAAATCTTCTACAGCTTTCCTTGCATGAATCTCGCCATCTATGATTTGTTGCAGAAGAGAAAATGAAATAATTAATGGGCTTCATTTATTATTTAATTTATTCCTCAATGGGCCTAATAGTATAATGAAATTAATAAATAAGCATGCTACAACTCCCCTTGTAATCTCTCTCGGGCGTTGGTTTTACAAGGAAAGGAATCACATGCTACAACTTCCTCCTTCTAGTGTTGGTTTAGTGCTCTGCGTAAGGGAAGAAAGAAATCACAAGCTGCTGCCTTTTTGTTTCTTCCTCCGTGCGGCTTGCATGTAGAGAGGAAGGTAGAGAGAGAGAGAGAGAGAGAGCTCTTTCTTGTAATCGTCGAGGTGATCGACGGATGTAATCCTCAAGCTAATAAAATCCTCTGCAACTCCGTGGACGTATGCAATTTGTCAAATCAAGTAAATATATGTGTCGCCTTTTATGTGTATTTTTTCCATTCTAATTTTCACTTTTTTTCCGTCGTTTTTCACAACAAGGAACTCACCTAACAGTAGTGAAATACAAAATATAAACTCAATCAAGTCCTCATTCATAAATAATTATGAATAATATTTTCTTTGAAGAATATTCTTGTCCTTCTAGCTTAAAATGATTGGTATTATCTCAAAAAAACTCAACAAATTAAATTCCCAGCTCTGGGATGGCTGCATAGGCCAAGTATTATACCGATATGAAAAAGGCATTATTCCTTGGGAAATAAATTCATAATATACTACATCCTTAAGATTATTTAATAAGATGCAGATGCCCCAAACAGAACTTTAAACTCATAAAAGGGTGTCAATATTGATTACTAATATTAAAATATGCTAATGTCAGTATAATATGAAAGAGTAGCAATATCAGTTATAAATAAGAAAAAATACAAATATAAGTTATAATTATGAAAATGTGTCAAAGTGGGCATAACTGATCAATAAAGCCCCTAATAAAGAAAGAACAAATTAATAAGAATAATGACCTGCAGCGCCTCATTAAAATGAGGTAAACAAGTAATTTTATCACGAGTCTTCTATGATTATAAATAGAGAAAATTTTATGAATAAAAGGAACGATCTTTTCATCTGGACTATTCACCTTGAACTCCATTCTCTCTCCCTCTTCTTTCCTGCGTTATATCCCTGGAGACGTGTTCCAACCGACTAATCATGATTCAATACATAAAATCTTCATGTTGAAATATAGAACATATTAACTTCATTTCATCATATATTGTATTTCTAGGGTGTAGTTTTTTTGACCGGATGTGTCAGATGTTTCTTTAATTTTTGCTATGAGTGTTTTATAATGTCAAAGTATAATTAAAAATATAAAAGGTTTATTTATCCAGATTATAATATTACGAAAGATAACAAATTATATATATATATATATATATATATGAACTATTTTTATTATAAAATATGATTAAGTATTTGCGTAAGATGCATAAAGCATTTCGTAAAAGAAACTAATCATTTTTGAATCCCCGTTCTTTCCTCAAGTCGTCGAGCTCCGGAGTATCCGTAGTCACAGTCTAGCGCGTTCTTCTTGTTTCGTCTTATAGAAATTCTATCCCTATAATTTTTGGACAGAAACCCTAGATTACTTGGAATTCGAAGGCTCGATCTGTCGCTCAGATCTGATTATCTTGTGGCGTGACCATTTTGGATTAAAATCCATGGCATCGCGAAGGAGAATGCTTTTGAAAGTCATCATTCTGGGCGATAGCGGGTGAGCTTTACCATATTTTGTTTTCTTTCATGTAATCACTTCGTTGAATACTTCTTTTTTTTTTTTTTTTTTTTGATGTCTCTAATTTCCGGTTTTGACTTCGTTCTTGATAGGGTTGGCAAGACATCGCTTATGAATCAGTAATCTATCGTTAATCCGCTTTGATTTTCATTCAGAAATTAATGTATGATGTTTTAAATCATCTGATTGTTCGGCTGACTCCAAACCATGTCATCAGGTATGTTAGCCATAAATTCAGTAATCAATACAAGGCGACCATAGGTGCTGATTTCCTTACCAAGGAAATTCAGTTTGAGGACAGGCTTTTCACGTTGCAGGTAAGTCTTACAATTCTGAGGATGGCGTGATTTGTTTTTTTGTACCATCGTCAACACTTGTCCCACATATAATTCATAAAAAAATGTTGGACATGAAATTATAGCAAGTTCATTTGTAGTATTGGCTGTTGTATTTTCTACAATGTTAATTTTGGAATTCGTGAAGTCGGGAGAGGCCTTGCAATGTGGCAGAGAATTGGGGAGGTCGCATGGTAATACTCATGATGACTTTTTGAGCGCTTTTTTCGTTGGCCTAGCAGTAGAAACTTATACCTTATTTCGTGGAACAAGGAAAAGGTGTTCAATTAAGATGTGAAGTACTTTTATTTTACCACCATCTCGGGTTTCAAGATTGAAATTGGGATATTTGTAAGGGGGATCGAAATGATGGACAAATTGAAATAAGGATGCTTTGAGAGTTAGGGTTGGATGGCGAGGTCAGTTCAACAGATGACGTGGCCACATCGGTGTATTAGCCGAAACAATGGTGGACTGCCCTGGGTTAGTTCAGTGTAGGCCGGTTAACTTTATAGCTTCTAAAGTGGACGAGCCAGCTGTCACACCCCGAGCCCGGAAGATGGTACACCCCGACAACGCAAGACATGAGGAAATGATTTGAATCTATTTTATATTTTCAAAGAAAGGAAGACGGTCCTACAGGTGGTTTAATGAAATCTGTTATGCAAAAATTTAAAATTAGTTTGACAAATTCAATAAATAACAGATATCCATTAAAGTATAAACGACAAAGGGAATGCGACATGTAGTATGAAAAAGTAAGGAATAGTCACTAGGTGATGCAGGTGGATTTAGTGTGTTAATTTTGCAGATATTTTTCATTATTACAAAATACACATTACAAATACAATAACAAATATGCATTAATTCCAACAAAAATAACTTTAGTGAAAACAGTTTTATTTTTTAAAAAATTTTAAACTGTCAAATCCTCTTTAAAAATAACGCAAGTATACGTATCACTCAAGTAATAAAATGTTCTAATGGAGTTCGAGATATCGATCCCACAGGGAAGTTGAAAATGCATATATGTAAATTCTTAAGATTATAATGTATAATACAATTTTTAAAACTACAAAAAGTAAAGTGCGAAATTTGAATATTAAATACTAGAGTAAATGTCAATTAAAATGCAGTTGAAAGACAAAATTAACTAAACTAAATTGTAAACTATCAAAAGTAATCTTACAAAAATTAAACAAAGTTTTTGTGACAAAAAGTTCAAGTTTAAAAAAAACATCATTCCCATATATAATGAGTATATAGATTGTGAATAAATTAAAATCATTTGAAAAAATATATAAAAATTATTTTGTGCCAAATAGGAGCAATCCTATTCTTTACCCTCTTTCGAGTTTATAAAGAACATTGACTAATCCAGAGTTTGGTCTCTAATTCTGTGGTTAGGCTGGGAGGATACCGACTGCCACTCCATAGCTCCCACTACTCGCTCACCTAAGGGCTAACAATCTCGCATCAAATTCCAATCTTAAAATCTCCAATTCTGTATCCAACAAAGTATATTTCCCTATTTATTTGTACCCAACTCTATGAATGACGTTCTTTTCTATGAAATCAAATGTGATTCTCCTCTTTGGAACCGCCTTGCCGGTCGATTTTGATAATTGGACTCTTGTGTTTGCCAACCCTATCGTTCCGGCCTCGACCTCGTGTGCGAGTTCTGGAAAAACTTTCACCATCTCGTTGCAGAGTGGTGAGGGCTCGTGGAACTAGAATCGGTGGGTCTTCATCTTGTGCTTCTTCCGGCTCCTCCACTTTGTTTGGTATGATGTTTCTAGAGAAAATTGCTTTCTTCGGAGGCACGTAGTAAGCGTTATCTTCGTGGATTCCCACTTCATGCACAGAAAATGGTTGCAAGTCACCTTTGTGCAATGCTGCTGCCCCTCATGCCAATACTTTATATATTGATGTAAAGGCGAAGGAACCATCCCATGCTCGTGGATCCATGGCCGATCCAGGAGAGCATTGAATGAAGTCTCAAAGTAGATAATGTGGAATTTTGCAGTTGCTACTAAATCACCGACTTTCAACAGTAGCGTGATTGATCCAAGGGCCCTCTTTCCTTTCTGATTGAAGTCTCTTAGCGTCATCTTGTCGGCTGACAACTTGCGAGCGTCTATTTCCAGATATGCCAATGTGCGTAAGTTCATTATATTGATGGACGCCTCTGGATCCACCAACACTCTGGAGAGTATATACTTATCAATGTTGACCGAAATGTACAGGGGGCGATTATAATAAGTAGTACCAAGCAACAAATCGTCATCTGTGAAGGTAATCTTTGTTTGTACCCCCAACGAACAAGCCTCATCTAAGGAGGTATCGGCGAGCTGAGCTAGACAAATCTCTGGATCGAGTAAAGTCTTAACCAGCGCTTCCCTTATTTCCTTTGACAGAATTAGGGCGTTCATAAATGCCCAACTTAGCAGGCAATTTCCTAAGATGGGCTAGTACGTTGTAATCCACTTTGTTACTCGGTTCCCCGACCTTTCTTTGAACGGTTACCTCTTCCACTGACGGGACTGGCTCCTCTTGGGTAGTAGTCTGTTTTGCATTTACTGCTAGACTTATTGTTGAGGGTAACACTTTTCATCTTCTCAAATATACCCCTATTATTTCCTCCAAATCTTGAACCGATTCCGAAGACATCATCTCCGGAACTGAGACTATGAGTTCCTTGGAGATTTCTTCTGAGTCTGAGGGTTCTAATTCAATTGCTACCGGCGACCCCTGAAATTCAAGAACAACCGACTCACTTTCTGAACTATTGTAACTTGTGCAGTCGACGTTTTCCTCTTTATCATTGCTGAACTCACTGAGATTTTGTACGATTTGAGAATTGTTATTAGAATCAAAATCAAGACCTGAGCTATGTTTACTGTTTTCAGTTGTATTACTATTAGAAACAATCAAAACGTAGCTAAAACTGAAATTCTTTGCATTATATGACCCCAGAGGGAGAAAAAAATAATCATACAGATTCAGCAGTTTGAGGGATTTCTCCCCCAAATCCGAAACAGCCAATCTAGGAAATACAACCCCTAGTCCACCCTTCGGCCTTTCGATCTCCTTATCTTCTGTGGCCTTCTCCATCTCCTTTCGAGGCAGCTCCTCAACTTCAACTTATAGTGCCCATCTAGCTGGACTTGAATTTTGAGTTGCCACTTGTCCCGGGGCATTTTGAATCTCTTTTAATATCTTCTTTGAAGGCTTCGTCCATGCTATGCTCCATCTGTTGTCAGCTGTGTATGGGTCAATCAAAACAGTAGGATCAACTGAAATCATATTGATAGAACTCTTTTCAAGTTCTTTCATTTGCTCTTTCGGGATCGTTATGTTCCCTCTTTTGAGGTTGACCTCCAGCTAGTTCTTGAAGGAGAAACAACCCTCTATGGTATGCCCAACCATTCTATGATACGTACAATACAATGGATGATCTTTCTTATCCACCTCCTCTGGTCTCTTCGGCGCAAACAGTTGAAATTCAGGCTTCTTGATTAGATTGCGGAACATCTTCCCCATTTCTTCATCCTTAAAAGGGTACACTTTACTAAAGTGATCTGCCATGGTCGGGGGTCGTCTCCCATCTGTCTGACAGACTCCTTGCTGAAATGACTGTTGGTTGTTCTGTTGAGAAATTTGATAAATTTGCTTAGGCTGTTCAACTTGTATTTGCATTGGCTGCTTACCTTTGTTTACTGTCGTAACGGTGCCAGATTTCTTCTCGAAGGTCTTTATTGGTTTTGACTTTTCAGTTTTCTCGAGAAAACCAAGCTGCTCAGCCTCTTCTTGAAGACTTCTGGCCTTGCTCAGTAGCTTTTCAAAGGTTTTAATGGTAAAACCCTTAAGAAGAAACGCAACTGGGCCGTGAATGCTTTTTAGTAGGATTTCAATCATATTCTGCTCCTAAAGCTGTGATTCTCACTTCATGCTTATGTTCCTCCTTCGTAGAATGTAGTCCACCAGAGTTTCGTCTGGCTTCTGTCTCTCCACCACGAGATTACCGACGGTAATGTGGTGCTGAGCTCGAGCAAAACCTTTCACGAAAGGTCTTCTAATTCCGCGAACGTCTTTACAAAACCATTTGATAGCTCGACATACCAATCGAAAGCGACTCCCGAAAGGCTGCTAACGAATTGGCGGAACAACAAAGCGTCATTACCCCCGCGTTGCAGCAACTCGCTCGGAAGTGGGCAACATACTGTCGAGGGTTTCCTACCCCTTGAAAGTCTTGAACTGAGGTGGTACGAAACCCTTGGGATATTGGACAACATCGAACTTTTCAGGATAAGGTCTACCCTTCAGAATTGACGCTTCCCCTTTGGCCTGAGTCAGGGCTTCTCTCACCTGCTGTTCTATCATATGCTTGATTTCCTTTTCCAGACTTTGAACAAAATCTTTCTTTGGTTGCTCCTCTTTGTTAACATAAGTGAATTCTTTTTTATCGTCAGCAATTTGGACAACCTCTGGTTGGTTTACTTCTGCAGGTGTCAACTTCGGGGGCTGAGGTTGACTCTGAGTAGTCATGATTACGGCCATCATCTCCTCCATCCTTCTCTCCAAACACTCAACTTGTTCATCTTTCTGTCGAACCTCCCTTTGCAACATTTCAATGACCCTTCATCTGTGGGTTCTGAGACATCTCGCAAGGATGAAGACGCCCTAGTCCTGACGACATTTATTTCTGCAAAATCCTCCTCCATGTAACTCGTTAGATCTTCTTCACCCCTCAACTCGTCCCTTCTTTCTTTAGTGATTTGCTTGATGTTTGCTCTTAACTTCTCCAAAGTAGCCTCAATAGATCTTCCTTTAGTTACCTTAAGGTTAATCGACGATGGTTGAGAAGTAACTTCTTCTGGAGTAATCCTTGGGGCGACAGCTGACACCTCCGACTTGGAGTTCTTTTTAGGATCTTCAGCCTCAGACTTTTCCACAGGAATCGACCCAATGGATCTAGGCCG